GGGCCTGGACGATCATCGATGATCGGGTCGCGGATGTATGGGGAAAGCGACCGATGGCATAATTTCGAGAAGCACTTGAGACGGTGACCACTGACCACTTAGTTTAATATCACGCTTGATCATGACTTTGGAGACTAACAAAAGTTAGGTACACTTAAACTATGCTCAGTAAGGTGTGCCAAGTATCCACGAGGGAAAGAGAGTCATGTGTGTGTGTGTGTGTGTGTGTGTGTGCGCGTACTGTACATACTTAGAGTACCTGGTGGTCCTGACCTGAATTAACCTACAAAGAGGCAGACAGCCAGGCAAAGAGGACTTACAGTACATACAACACACTGTATGAATGTTCAGTACAGTAACTATTGGTGGAGGTCGGCATAAAAAGACTGGGGAAATAATCAACGTTTGTGTTGTTGCACAGCTTGCTCCTGGTCCACGTTGATCCTGTTTGTTTACCGCGCGGGATTTTAGATGTGTCTGACTTTTTTGCCTATCTATTCTATATGTAGGTGAAGTATTACTTTTATTACCCGTCGGTCTTGTTACAGAATTTTGCGGGGATGTCTGAGGATGATTACGTCTCCAAGTGCGCATATGCAGGTGGATGAAAACAACAACACCACCACCACCACCACAACCACCACCACCACCAACAACAACCAGTTGATGCATTCGTGCTCGACCTGCCGCTGTTGACGCTCGGAGACATATTTCCCCAGAGCCGACCAGTCAGTGGCCAAGTAGCTGTAGGTCGAGCTGGTGGCAGCGCCCCGTGGCTGGCATGTTTCCGGGGCTGCATTGCATGTCTGGCGGTGAGCAGCCGGTGTCTTAGTGGCCGCTTGACCGCCTCCTGCTCCGGCGTTGGCTAAGGTTTGGTCCTTGCAGCCTGAACTGATTGATCCACGGCAAGTTCTCAAGCTGCGTGTCTTGATCATGCAAGCAGAAAAGGAGGAAAGCGTCTAGTTAGTTACGTGGAAGCTTTCTGACTAAACGATAGAGGCCGGAGGGGGGGGTGCACTCCCCCACAATTATCCCGTAGTAGTCCAGATACTGATAGGAAGAGGGACTTATTTTTTGCCCGCCAGGTGGCTGATTTTCACACGAGTATCACGCGATGCCCGGCTGGGACCACACCACCCTATCCCATTCCATGCTACCATCAACAACAACGATGACAACTTTAGTACAAGTTACGGAGTAGTTCTTTGTAGTGAGTTGGTGGCTGGCAGACTGACTGATCTTCCTCCCCATTACTCTCTCTCGGATCCTCTTCGGTTCCAGCAAGTTATGATCGTTGCCTGTCTGGCCCGCTATCGGATACTCTCTCACAAGTCACCTGGCACTGCCGCCCCTCCATAGAGTTTCTGGCGAGTGGCAGTGGTGTGGTCACCCATGGGACACGAAGCGGACACGATACACTTGCGGATCCCAGCCTGGAGAGTTCGGTAGATAAACCGGACTTGGGCTGAAGCAAGAGAAGGTTGGGGTGAACCTTGGATGGGCTTATCAGTGATTAGTTACGGGGATCATCAGCCGAGCAGATAACCACGAATCAGGGTTGGCTGTGTAAGAGATACTGTGAAACGAATGGACGATAAGGTGATGTTTTCGTTCTGTTCTCCTCTGGGTCTGGCGATGGATATCGGTAGATACTACCTCCGTTGTTGTCGATTAAGTGATGACACAAACGATTCTATTCTGTGCACCCCGAAAGGGGACAGCAAACCACTGAGGTTGGGAGATAGATAGATAGTACGGGAGTACTGATAGTAACGAGCAGCATGGGCCACCAATTGGCAGGGTCATTTATGTGAGGAATAGAGTTCATTCCCGTTCCTCGTTGATTGATTGATTGATTGATCGATTGATAGACGGAGAGATAGGGGAGCTGACCGAACCCAGCTACGTATCAGCATTGAAGTCAAACCACCACCATTCCACCCGCTTGAACAATGTGCATGCCTACATACACATATTTCCGAGCCCCAGGCGAGCGGGATCGTACCTTTAGTCCCCGGATCGGCCTCGAAACGATCCAGTTTTTCAGAAGGAGCACGCGATCAATTAGGTGCGAGCACTAAGGATCATGATGAAGTTGCGAAAAGTTGCATCAGCTGGGGTGGTTGAAGATCAGCCCATTAGACTAGAGTGTAAGTCAAGTTGGGTTGGAGAGGAGCCGAAATCGATAGCGTGAGTCGAATTGGTGGATGGATTGAAAAACGACTTCCCCAAATCGTCTGCAATTTTTACCCCGCACGATCTGCGGTCCGGTAAGATGCGGGTGTTGATTGGCTGATTTTCCCAAGTTGTTCCACCCTGTGCCACTGGCTCAACCTCGCTCAAGGTTCGTTTCCGTCAACAAGAACAATTCCTTCCACTCTTCGTCTAGAAACACCGCGGCAACCAGAGATATGAGTATGAAGGATTTCGTGATCGTCTACCGTTGCATTTCAGACCCGGTGGCAACTTTCCCCGGATTTCGCAATCGAGTCTCATTTTTAGGTCCTGTCTCAACATTTTACAGTTTCCAGTCGGTAGTCCGGCAACAACATAAGTCAACCAAAACATGCTCAACTTCAGTCAAGTGATCAATTGACTAATGGAGATCATGGATTGAGATGTGACCTCTCGACCCTCAATTCGCTCTTTCCGGAGACCTGCTCGTCTCGAGTTCCAAGTTCACACAATAATTAATTTACCAAGTTAACTCGTACTTCGTATCCATCTCCCCCAAATGAGCGATCGGACACGGACCATACATATCCCATTCTGCACCTCAACCACAGAAACCAAGGCACCCAGGCACCGCAGATATGTACCAACTATGTCGTGTACTGTACAATAAGTTTATGTAGTGTACATACCCGGTGGCAACTGGTTCTACAGCACATGACTACATCCTCTCTACCCGCATGCATGATATGTTATATGTAACATAGCAGCCAGCAGCAGCAGGAGCAGTATCTCCCTTGCCCCCTCCTCCTCCTCCTCCTCCTCCTCCTCCTCCTCCTCCCCCCACCTCACCCACTTCTAAATGTATTATACAATGTAAGAACTGTAAAGATAACCAAGCCCGATGACGAAACTCCAATGCACAATGCACAATGCACCAGCAAAGGGAGGGAGGGGCAAAGAGAGGGAGAGAAACATGAAGAATCATTCGGATGAAGAAGACCGACCCGACTTAAGGGGGGAAAGAGAGAGAGAGCACAGTCCCATCCATCCCTTTGGCTTCATACGTATGCAAGGCGGGTTTGGGGGGAAACCCCAGTACTTCAACAAAGACAACAGTTCCGTTCAGTTCAGTCCAGTCCAGGAGATGCAGTGGCGGTGCATCAAATGTCTAACACATAAGGCTGCCTGCCTACCTGCCTGTTCACTTTGCAATTGAGCGGTTCAATTGGCCAGAGGGCGCGAGGGGCGATGTCAAACGGTTTTGTTTTCTTGTTAATGTTGGCTGTGATGCAGGATTCAGCTTGTGTGTGTTTGATCTACAAACTTCGTTGAAGGCCATTGCATTCAATCAATTGTATCAATGATTGATTGATTCAGACGGACATCTGCTTCCCCAGTCTTGTATTGTCAATGTTTGTTCCGGAATTGACCGGCATATCCAATGAACCACATGTGGCAGCCACCATTCTCAGGCAGCAAGATTACCCGCTCTCCCTCCTCTAAACTAAACCAGATACATATCTGTACGTATCGATATCAATATCGATATCTAAATATACATCAGCACACACGCCCATTTGTACTACCCTATCCAAAACCTCCAAACATCCAGAGTCTAGCCCTTCTCCATCCCAATTCCCATCCCCATCTATGTGAAACACACATCCCCAAACCTTTCTTTCACCAACAAAAACTTCCAAATCAAGGGGGAGGGGAGGGGGAGACGCAAGTCCAGCGCTTCGATGCAGCAGCAGCCCCCAACAACCTGCACATCTGGCCTGTTGTTTGCTGCTGCTGCTGTGCGCCGGCCTTGCACGCTACACACACAACCAGACCAAAAGTACAGCAAACCCTCCCCCACCCCCTTTCGGAAAACAGCGAGCATTTGCGTTTGCTTGTGTTAGCCTGCTGGTTGTTCCATTGTTGTCCTTGTGCACGGACTCGGCGGATGGGAAAGTACTGTACGCTGTACGCCGTGGTTACTACGGAGTTCTTGATGGATCTGCATTGCTGTAGCTGAAGCTGTAGCTGTTTACCTAGTAGTTATTTGCGCCGTATATTTGTAGAATGATAGTGACATACACCCAGTGGCATGGTCCAATCCAGGAAAAAGCAAGTACTGTGCCTCGTGGGGTGGTTATCTTTTGCTTGACAAGGCTAGTAGATGACCTATGATACAGGGTACAGTACATATAGTAGATTCATGTGAAGTGAGCGTCTCGCCTTGGATCATCAATGTACTGTACAACAGTACGTGGAACGTGGATGGCTGCGGTGTACTCCATTCTTCCAATCTCACATCCCAGGTTGCAGCACTCGAAAACCTTGTATAGCATTCCGATCTCACACATGCAGATATATCCTCACGTCAACACGCTTTGGGATTCTATGTGCAATATGTGAGGGGGAGTGCCGCGAACAAGGAGAGTCTACTTAGCCCTATTCCCGGCTTTCTGTATACCTCTCGGGGTGCATCCATTCTGTTAAAGTTTGTGCGACAAAGGTATTCTCAGTGTGTGTGTGTGTGTGTGTAGTACATGCTTTGAGTTCACACCGGCTTGCGTTCTGAAGCTGTAAGTCGATCTCAGATCGGCTGTGGGATGGATCTGATCGTGGAGCTCTGCGTTTATGCTGCCCTGCGAGCTGCAGTGTATAAACTCCAAGGCCGGTCTGTGGGTGTGAGTTACAACATAACCTGATCGGTGGTCTGGTAAGGAGATCGAAGACTTTTCTTTGTGGGTGTGCATTAAAGGGGGGCGGGGCTATGGTGTGAATCAGTTGGGCGGCGCTATGATCATACAAGTATAATAACGTTCGAGGAATTAGTCGGCATGAAGATAGGATCTGAAGCATTTGAAGTAACTAGCTCATAGGCTGTCATTTCCATAGCAGCGGCAGCAGCCTAGTTTATGATCCCAAGCATGCAGTATATATATCCATCCAACTTGCTGGGAAATAGAATCAAAGAACAATCGAAATAAATTGCTTCACGCTTATAATGCAGTGCTTCCATCATGCGCGCTCGTTACACAACACACCCAAGCTTAAATCACCAGATCTTACCCGACTCAATGCGACTACAGCGTCCAATCATCCACGCCCTCCGAGTTCTCAATGAACGGCCGATCAATCTGCTTGATCGCATGGTCACCGCAAAGGATACTGACATTCTGGTTAGTGACACTTCTGAAGCCCTGGGGGCAAGAACATACCATGCTTCTGCAATCAGCCCATCAAGCTCACGCACCACTTCCGCCCGCCGCACCGCACTGAGAGACCCTTTGCTGAGCTGCGCCTGCAAGTCCCGGATATACTTCTTCTTGCCCCCTGCGCCCTCGAGCACCTCCTTGCCCAAGCAGTCGCTGTGGAACGCGTGCTGACAGGGAAACACAAAGAATTGTCGACTGAGCACAGGCAAAGAGCAGAGCCAGCACTTCTCTCCCGGCTCCACAATTGCGTAGCGCGTGTCAAGTGCCGCAATTTCCGTGCGGATCTGGCGGGCCGTGTGTGCCGAGTTGTCCATCTCCTGCCGGAGAGCCTCGATGTGCCGAGAGTATTCCTCCAGTGCACTGCAGATCTCGTCTTTGAAGTCGTCGATAACGACAAAGTCCGGGAAGAACGGAATGAGGTCTTCAATGCGAAGCAGCTCGCATCGACGGAGGAATTCGATGGCATCCTTAATACCCTTCCCGGGCTGCCGGATTGTCTTCTCCGCGACAAGGAGCCAGAGCTTCTTTCGGAGCTTCTCGTTCCCTTCCGGACGGTCGGCCACTATTGCTGCGAGTTCAATATCGTCATGCTGTAAAGCCAGCTCCACAGCTTGAAGATATTGTCCCATAGCGCTGTAGATGTGAACGCATGATTGGACGCGCTGGTGTTGAATGCAGAGACGCAGAGCAAAGTCGGCATCATACGGTGGGGGCGAGGATTGCTGTGATTGCAAATAGGTGAGAAGCCCCGCCTCAGACGTCGAGGCGCTAGACGCATGGATTGATATCAGGGTGTTGTGGACGGCGGCGGAGGGGTTCGGGTGGTTGACAATGATGAAGTTGAGGTATCGCACGGCCTGGTTCTGCCCCAATGGGACATTCGCTGTCTTGTTGTAGTTGAGTAGAGCAGGTATCAGTCTCTCAGGCTCCAGGTTGGTCTGTCGCATCAAGATATCGACCAGTCCAGCAGCAGCGTGGGTCATCAGGACACTGCTGTACTTGTAAAACACGTCCGGATCACTTTGTCGTTGCAAGACATTGAGTGCCTGAGTCCATTTCTCCCGTAGTATCCAGTAGGAAAGAACATAATTGTAGTCATTGGCCGCGGTGGCAAAGAAGAGTAGCTCCTCCTCACGACCGTGGCTGCTGATGATATCGTACGCAGTCCTCTTGTCAAGATCGGACCGGTACCGAGTGACAAAGTCCTGGAACTCAGCTCTGACAGTGCCAAGCTCATCCTTGACTTCCTCAGTGCTGGTGCCCTCGGCAAGCTCTGCTCGGGTAGCAATGTTGTCATCGAGGGAGTTCAACTTCGTCATGAAAACCTCAACCAGCCAGCTTGCGACCATGATGCGCTGCATGGAAGAGGATTTCTTGTACGTTGACAGCTGAGACAACAAATACTTGCGCAACGCATCATGCTCTCCACGGTTGATCAACGTCAAGCAGACCTCTTCGAATCCTTTGCTGCTTCGGCCCCATACGGTGGCCGCCTCAAGATATCGGCCTTTTTCCGCAAGGAAATCACCGGAAGCCGTGGAGACGGCATCTTTCTGGGCACTGGTACGGGCGTACTGCAGAGCTTGATCAAACATTTGTTTCTGCAGGTAGACCTTCCATACATCCCTATCCTCGTTCTCCACGGCAATTTCGTAGATCTCGCGGCTAGTGAACAGCCAGTAGGTATGTTGCGTCGCATCCGTCAGTAGGCCCAAAGCACTTTGCCCTGGTTCCAACACGGCCTCGTCGAAAACAATCTCCTCGCTCATTCGATTTACAGCGACGATCCTGCCTTCAACTAGGGCAAAGATGTGCCACTGGGACAATGTCACGGCGGTAATGGGATCCTGAATGAGCTTCTTACCGCCGCGCGCAGATTCACTAGCCGGGAACACGGACCGTGGAAGCATGCTTGCGCTTTCAAGCGGCTTGCTGAGATTTTCAGGCGCATATGGGAGTTGTCCGTGGAACACCCCCTGAGAACTGAGCCATGCGAATTCTTTGTCGGCCACACCTCCCGTCGTCTGTGCATCCGCAAGAATTGGCGAGACTGCCAGCATTGACGGTGCGGCACCGGAGGGATTTTGAATCTCGTGAGTAACCGGCGATTCGCGTTGGAATAAATCGGCGTAAATAGGGCCACCCCCCTCCCGTCCGTATCTCCCGGTGCGCCCCAGGAAGCTTAGTAACTTGCCATGAGTTGCTATAAGCACCCGTCTCAGCTCCGGCCTCGTTGGGATTGACTCTGCACACAATCCCGTCACAGGCGAGCCCTCCAAGGCCTTGAAGACGACATGTGCATATCTCTCTTCGCGCCGGTAGAACTCGCTCGACGGCTCAATGTAAGCTTCCCAGATCAGTCCATCCGTAGTACCCAGTAGAATTTCTCTTGTCGATGCTGTAGGATGCGCTGGATTCCAGGCGACACTCTCGATCGAGACACCTTTCAGTCGCGACAATGGTCTAGGTTGTCGCGATTGGGTGTGGAGGTAATAGTTCTCGCCCAGGGTGGTTGTGATGATGAGATGAGAGGCGGAGGGGTCAAGGAACATTCGCCGAATCACTCCAATCTCCGAGGATTTCTTAGGAAGGTCGATGTCTAGTTCAGGAAGCTCAATTAGCATTGCGACGCGAGAAGATGCGGAGCGGTGGGCTTATTCCGGCGGTGAAATGTACTGACCATCGATGTCCTCGGGGGTATCCAAGTCGATACGGAGGATACGACCAGTCGATAACGCTAGAATGAGCACATTGTTGGCTACCTGTGCGGCTACAAAGTCCGCTGCAAGAGGGAACTGAAGCTGAACATGTCGGACATCGAACATGGAGAGTGCGGAATCCCCAGGTTCCGCGAGGTTGCTGGGAGCAACATAGCCGCCAGACGTCTCCAGCGCCATAATGCGCCAATAGTGATATATTCACTTATATCATACCGGTGCCACAATTGAAGAGCTTAAGTCAGGTTGGGAAGACAGTATTGTGTCTGTCACCCGAAAGTGGCTGGCTGATAGTTAATAAGTTAACAATGACGACGAATGGAGTGGAGGATCGGAAATGGGGGGAAGCTCCGTCCGTCGGGCGGTGGATGCCTTGGCATGTCCCATGTATATGCCTTCGTACCTCAGGCATGCGCAGGCATCAACTAGTGTTCACCAGCACTATTTTACAATACAAAGTCTAAATCACAATCATGAATGGGAGTGGGCAGATCCACATATGTATCATAATGACATTAGCTTGCGTCGCCATATGCTATAGAGGCTCGATGGCTATTACCATTATTCGTTATTCGGTGGCTTGGGTATGCTGTCTAATCTAACACCAACACATCTCCAAATATCAGACTTCCTCATAACGCGTAAATCATGCAACATCACTAAATGTTGATGTCCTCCTACCTTGCCGACCATGCAACCTTCGAAGCCAGAGAAATCGGTGCACAACAAGAGCAAAGACAGTGGTGAAAAATGCAACAAGGCTGAAGTGCATCAACTATGCATCAATTACAAACCGATTCATAATCACATGACTGTACACTCCCGGTCCAGTTTCCGTCCAATCTTTTCGCGAGACTTGTCTTTGAGCTTGTCCCGATATCGATCGGAATCCCGAGTCCGCCTCGGGCTTCTGTCCTTGCGCTCCATACTGGGCGGTGGTAGGCGGTCGTTCGGAGCAAGCTCGTTCTCCGTCAAGTCTTCATCTTCCCCCTCAGCGAATTTATCCCGGCTTAGTCGACCGGCAAACCGCGAGAAACTGAAGCTAATTCTGTTCTCACTGGCTTGGCTCCCGGTACGACTTCCAGGATTGCTCCTTGTTGCTCGGGAACTTCGTCGGGAAAACGAGAAAGAATTCCTGCCCTCGTCGTCTCTCGGTGTCAGCATAGGCGAGGTTGATGGAACAGACTGCATTTGGAGGCCAGTTTCGAAGGCTTCAGAGAATGTCACGCTTTGCTTCCTGCCATTGTGATCCACGGGTGTGGGGTCTGCTCCATCTGGGCTGGTGATCTCAAAACTTGGCCGACCGGATCTATGCCCCTCCATCCCATCGATAGCTGTATCATCCAGCGCCAGTGTCTGTAACTTTCTAGGGATGCTAGCCGCCTCTAGCTCACGTGAGTCCCTGGACGTTTCAGACGATGGCGGCTTGTAGCCTAGATTAACCGCGGCTGCATCTTCATGGATAGGTAAGATCTGGTAGAACAAAAGGTAAGGCGACTCGGTTTTCAGTGCCTGCTCAATGTCGATCAAGGTAACTCGCTCGCTTGCTAAGTCATCAAAGCGCATCCAGTACTTCGGTGTGTCCGAGAAAGTGTCATCCTCGGATCCGTGAGAGCTGGCTGGAGGTGCTCCAGCACTGGTCCCCCTGACAATGGATATGTAGTGTCCTGAATCCACTGAAGTTCCACGGTGGCACACCATCGCCTGTAGTGAGAGCTTGAAATTTCCATAGATCGGGCCTTCCTCATTCATGTTGTCATCCTTGATGAAATGGGGGAGCCCAATCTCAGTCGGAATATCAACAAATGTGTTAAGTCGGACTGCTTTGCCATTGGGTAGCATAGAATAGCGTTTAAGGCACATGCCTAGAATTGGACGCTTAGAAGAGAAATGTGCGGCAACTTGGGCATCACTGGTCGGTGTGTTGTCTGTATACCACGCTGTATCATCGTTAGCGCATTCCTTATTGTACTGTAGGACTGACAACGCATACGTATTAGGCTGAAAAACTGCCATGCAGGCATCATCACTTCTTTGCGATAGGAACCCCTCCGTTGAGATGTAAGCACGCTGTCCTTCTCGTTCTCATGGTCCGTGTCTGGTATGAAACGCTCTTGAAGGATGCTATTGCGACGGTAGGGAGGGGGGTCGGATTCGATTACTTCCGTCAACGAGTTCACTGGTGGAGTTTCATCCCACCGGGGTGAAGGAGGCTGACTGGAAGAGGGCGACAGCGGCGTGCCAACCTCTTCGACGTGGGTCGTGCAGCCTTTGGAGAGAGAATCCAGAGATTTTGTTGAGCCTAGCGTGTGGCGCCGTTCCAAGTACCGCTTGACCTCGATCCGGTTGTTGAAGTAAGACTCCAAGCAATCTTCCAAAGTGACTGTCTCCCCATCAACGGGTTCGGGAATTGCGACCTCTAGCAATCTTTCATTGATGAACTTATGATCACCACTCACATCCTCCTTTCCTGTGTGGTAGATGTCCATCTTGAGTGTCAGCAGTGGAAGCTCTAGTTTTTCCGTGATGAACGTGAAGGCCTCGGACGTGTCCTGTTGTCGTAGTCTCGCTGCATCTTGCCAACCGCATTCAGCGAGTGCATCTTGCAGGTGTTTTGTCTGCGGAGCACACCAATTAGCGGGAAACGAAAGATAGTGCGGAGACAGGATTGCCTACAAGATCGGTGGTGATAAGCTTTCCGGACCGCAGCATGTTGACCCAGAGCCTTAATAAGATGGAAAGTTTCCGGCGAGCCTCATCGTTGAAAGATTTGTAAAGAATAGCTTCGAAGCAATCAAGCCGGGCGAACATCGCAAAGAGTAGAGCGTCCAGGTAGCAAGTAACGCCTTCGCGATTCACTGCGCCACGAAGTTTGGTGCTTGGCGTATAGCCTCTGATTATCCCCTCAATCGAATCCTCCAGGAGCAGAAGCAACTCAAAAGCCTTGTCCACATCGCCTTGCGCATGCTCCGACTGGATCGCATATACGAAATGTTCCTCCTTTAGGCCGGTGATGCCGAGTCGCGCGACACGTTGCTCGAGAATCTTGACCTACTTGGCTGTCAACTCGAGGTATTCAGCAGGAACAGATGCGCGACAGGATTTTCTGTGGTCACCTTCTTTTGTTCTTCATTTGAGTCCGTGGTTGGGAGTTTGTCTGATGAGAAAAGACCTCGGAAATGAGGACGAGACAGGACATTCGACGTCTAGAGTCGCAGACAGCGTTAGCTAATTGCGACAGAAGGTAAAATGAGCTGACGAAGCTTTTTTTTTTTCAAGGATTGGGTCTACCTCGTCTTTAGCAGACTTTCCATCTTTATTTCGCTCACGCCTCGTGAGAAATTTGTGTATACCACTCATCTTCGACGGTGCATGAATCCTAGCTAGATGGGGGGAAGAAGTGCGCAAGCAGCGTGCAGATTGCGGAGTCGACGAGGAACCGACGACATGTGGGGGGGGGATCTATATTGATCCTTGCTCAGGCTCCAGGGTTCCGATCGAGCATGCGAAGATAGCGCCTGATTGAGTCATAAAACAAATCAGAAGGGACAGATGGGACAGGTTAGGCGACGATGACCTTTTATTGTTCTGATCCGTGAGCGTTCCTCTTTAAATTTATTCATTGTTAAGCCAATACATACTGAGTAAAAACAAATCGGGTAGCCAGTTACCTCGTAACTCTTACGCACCAGCTGAAAGGAAAGCCAGTGACATCACATGCGCCACCACCATATCATGAAAGATGAACAAGACAGACAATAAATGAAGAGTGTGAGGCAAAAGTGACCATAGACAAGAAAAGGGAAGGAAGGAGATGCCTGTCAGAAGACCATACTATGAGCAAGTACTTGTAGCACAAGATTAACAGCGAGAGAGATCTCCGGTGGCCAGTTTCACCAACTAGGTTACGATAAGCCAGTGAAGTAGAGAAGAGTGGCGGGGTTGAAAGGCGAGCCGTGATCACTGATCACACAAGTGGAGACTGATCTCGCAGCCTGATCTTGAAGGTGTTAAGGCAACCCAGCAGGAACCAATGTCACCTGATCAATCACCCCCGAAAGAGTCGATGCATCTCCGGTGCGGGAAAAACAATTTTTGGAGATCTCAGTCTCGACTCCAATCTCAGCCTACAACCACCATCCCCCCCAAGGAGTAGGAGTTCACAATGGCTGCCAGTGAGTCCTCCAGATACTTGGCAAGGTCATTGCCACGGGCGTTGGCGCCCTCTGCTCGTCCTCAGACCTTGTGCTGGCGCCGCAATGTCTCCGACCAAGCATCGACGAGATCTCCCTCCGCCGAACTGAGCGAGCTGGAATCCACCGACCTCGCCTCCACAAATGCACCCAGCGAACTGGTGCAATCTTATGATCCTATCGCCAGAGCCAGAGGTCGCAAGACCAAACTACCCCGGAGTCGGTAGGTCTCTCCCTTGTCCGCGCCTCTTCCTCCATCACTATTCCTTGCGGACCACACGATTCGTTGCTCCCAGTGCCTTTTCTTGCCTATTCTCCTCATTTGTCTTCACGATACCATAACCATAATGCTAACCCAACTGCCCACTTCACCAGTTACCAATTCCGGTCCCCCAAATACTACCGTGGTCCGCTCCACCCTCACCAGCCGCCTCCGCCCTCCGACCCTTCCTCCCGACTGTACGTGCCAGGCCCATTCTCCCTTCCCCGAGTCGAGCAGACCTGGCAATCGACCGTCGCCTCGGACATCCTCACCCTCCTCTATGTCCACAACCCGCCGGGCTTCAAGCCGCCCGTCAAGGCGCCCCGTCTCCGCAGCTGGGACGACAGCTCGCCCTACCACAAGAACCGCAACCTCCGGGGCCCCCGCGGTGGGGACGTGCTGCGCCTGCTCCGCAAACCCATCGACTTCAACAACATCCCGCGCCTCGAGCGCATCACCATCCACAGCTACGTCAACATGGCGACGGAGAACTCGTCCTGGCTGCACGCCGCCGGTATCGCCGTGCAGGCCATCTCCAACGTGCGCGTGCAGACCTTCAAGTCCCGGACCAGCGTCCAGAAGTGGGGGATCATCCCCGGCCGCGACACCGTCGCCTGCAAGGCCGACCTGTACGGCGAGAACATGATGCACTTCTTCGGCAAGCTGGTCGACATCGTCCTGCCCCGCATCAAGGACTGGCAGGGTGTCAAGGGCAGCAGCGGTGACAGCAGCGGCAACATCACCTTCGGTCTCGACCCCGAGCATGTCGCTCTGTTCCCGGAGATCGAGATCAACTATGATATGTACGTGTCTTTGCCTTTGTTCCAAAGCAGCGCCCCCCAATCACTTTCAGTAGTCTTCCCAGCAATCATCGAAGCTTATGACTTGCGTGTGCGTGGTGACTAAGCTAGCTAACACATCTCGAAACACCAGGTACCCTCCCAAGATGATCCCCGGTTGCCACATCACCATCCACACCTCCGCCAGAACCGACAAGGATGCCCGCCTTTTGCTTAGCGCTCTGGGTATCCCCTTCTACGGCAAGATTGTTCATTAAAATGTCGGCGCCCCAGTAGATAGAACTGCGCTTCATCCTCGCTCACTCATTCAACGCACGGCGAGTTGATCGCGATTCCAAGGTCGTTACTTTGTAGAGTGGATTCTTTTTGGTCTTGGTATTTTTTCCCCATTTTGGTCGTTTCTGGCTGGCATTGAACATGTAACATGGAGGGTATGTCTCTGGTGTTGTTAGATTCTTTATGTAAAATACGCTATCGCTTTCGATTGTACCTTGATTGTGTGTACTTTACCCTCTGCAAGCCGATGTTTGTTGTATTCCACACACAAAGGAAATCATAGTCTACTTATTCAGATTCGGGATTACCCTTCCGTAAGGTGCGTTCTCTTCGGCGCAAATTGATTAGACTTCCTCACATTCCAAGAAGCCATGCCATTAATTACAAGGAACCAGTAGGAACCTATTCCTCAGTGGAACATGCTGAATGCTTTTGTACACGCCATGTAGATCACTTTTGCCGTGTCCAGAGAATTGACAGTCGTTAAACATGCTCGTCCTGGCCAAGTGGGCCACAAGCAAGATGCAAATGCAAACACCAGAAGTCAAAGAGAGTGCAATAAACCCAACCATGCAATTAAACAAGTAGACGATGGCCACGCAAAACAAAGGGGTATTGAAATATCAAAGCCAACCAATAACAATATAGGAAAAAAAATTCCGAAGAGCAAAGGAGCCGTCGTCCATTAGGACCGACAGGACACTATCCGGCAAGAGGGGTCTTCAAGAAAGGGCAGGTAAGTAATTCGTCCGCTGACGGCCTCTGTTCGTAGTCGACTTGGAATGTCTGGTCCAGGAAATCCACGGCCTCCGGGCTGGCATGCTCAGGGGCCGGCGGTCGGGCTTTATTGCTGCCAATAGCGAAAATGGCTTGCAACTGACTACAGTCGGGGAAGGGATGGGCCCCGATAAACATCTCCACCACCAGACAGCCCAGACTCCAGATGTCGGCCTTCTTCGTGTGTGCCGTCTGACGAACCACTTCCGGTGCCATCCAGTAGACACTGCCCTGGAGTGAGGGGCGGTGCAGGTGACCCCCACCGGTGCCACTGGCACGAGCACCAAGAAGAGTCGATGCTTCCACCCGTTTCGAGATACCAAAATCAGAGATTTTGATGCCTCCCTTGTTATCTACAAGGATGTTGGCGCCCTTGATATCACGATGGATGATGTCACAGCTGTGGAGATAGGACAACCCCGCCAGGATCTGTCGAACAAAATTCTTGATCAGAGGTTCCTGGAAGGTGTTGTACTGCTTTAACATGGTGGCAATAGATCCTCCTGGCACATATTCCAAGAAAATATTCAGATACTGGTCGTCAGCAGCGGTACCCAAATACTGCACGATGTTGGGATGGTGCATTCCTTGCAAAAGTTCAATCTCGTGCTTAAGCGCGGTGACCATGCTGTTCTTGCGCTTGTCGAACTCCGTACCCTTGGTCGCGGAGGGGATCTCGACTTGTTTGACGGCCATGAGCTCTCCAGTGATCGCGTGTAGTGCGAGGAACACGCTGCCAAAAGAGCCCTCTCCAATTAAAGAACCTTTCATCCAGTTCTTCGGGGCGAAATTGTTTCCTGCCAAGAAGTCGTTGAGACCGTCATCCTCCTCTTCTCCATCTTCAGCCACAAGTATACTCAATCGTTCATTGAGCGAGCCGCCGTCAGTTGCAGCGACACTTGCGTTCTCATCGAGAAGACTCTGACGGGAGGTTGTAGGATCATCAGAGCCACTATCGAACGAAACATATGATTTGCGATTCGGCTCGATTGGCGACTCTTCTTGTAGTGGTTGTAAGGAGCTGGAGGCGATGGAATCTCTGTAGGTCGTTGACGGGAGACTGAATTTGGACACGGAGAGAGGTCTCGATGCACGGGTTGGTGTTCCTCCGGCGTTGAGCCAGGTATCTGCTATGCTTGGCATTGGCGGCGCGTCCCTCAGACTAGACGCATAGCTAGTATTGCTGACAACACTTAGGCGACTTGCTGCACGGCTCAAGCGCTGCGACCTCCGGACAGACATACGCATTGTCTTCTCAATATCCTCCCGGTGATGACTTGGGAAGTACGATGTAATCTCGTGGATAATCATCTCACTTGGAGGTCGAGCACCGAAGAACGACCGCAACTTGGCAGCTGAAGGAGAAGGGCGTTCCATGTTGACGGACCGCACTTCATGCTCACTCGGTGTCAAATTCTGTCGAGACGAGACAGGAGACATCGGCTGTCTGATGTTAAGCCAAGACTCACCAGTTAACTGCTGAATCTTGAGTTGGTTGCGCACATTCGAACTGCTCAAAGCGTTCATGTGAGCAACCTGACTTTCATCTACCGCTAACTGAGAAGCCCGACGGAGCTCATCCGTATCTGGTTCTCCAGCATGGATCTTGCGAAGAATAAGACGGCCGCGCTCCGGCCTGTGACTGCTTTCGCAGATTTCCATGAGCTCATGGTCCGCAAGTCTTCTGCAGTTGGAGGGATCAGGTTCTAGGCCATCCATTACATAGAAGCAATAATTGCGATACTGATGCTCCGGAAGCTGTAATTTTTTCAGAACGCACAGGATGATCTCATCTGCTGTTTTGCAATGTTTGATGTCAAGCACTTTGGTCTGACCACCCGTGTAT